AAATCTGAGAGCTGGCTCACTCCTTCATAGGCTGCTAGGTAATTTGATATCCGCCAGCCCAGAAAAGTTAGTAAAGACATCGTTAAAATAGTCCAAGTGACTACAGTGGCTCAACCTTAAGTTTATCAAGCGACGAGAATACTTTTTTCATTTTTGGGTGAACTAACCCTTTAAGGGAGGCAGTGTCTCTTAAAAAAAACTGGATGAGAAAATAATCGATATTATAAAAAATGTAAACAACGCAAATATTACAAAATGTGACATTAAAAAGTATAAAAGTCACTCATTTTTATAAAGTAACTGTCCAACAGAGACACCCGCAGGTGAAATTACAGCGGAAGGCGCGCCTCCTCTGATCACCCCATTGATTCCCTGTGCCAATGCATTGATGAAATTAACAGTTGGATGTGCCAAAACCTATTTCAGTTAAACAAAGACAAAACAGAAGTCATTACATTTGGAAAAAAATATGAAATTCTCAAGGTGAATGCATACCTTGACTCTAGGTGTAAAAAAAAAAAAAATCAAATCAGGAATCTTGGTGTGATTTTGGAGTCGGGCCTTATTTTCAGTTTTCATGTCAAAGCAATAGCTAATCAGCATAATATTATCTCAAAAATATGAGAGCAGCAGGCGTAATGATATGACGCAGCGCCTGAAAATAGGCCACCTTCCGTCAACACAACGGAACTATTTTCAGGCGCTGCGTCATATCATTACACCTGCTGCACTCATGGTACGGCAGTGAAGTTTCTTGATTATTACGCAGGAATGAGAGTATAGTTCCTAGCCATATCAGCCTAGAAAATCGCAACTTTACATTTTCCGTCGGTCTTAGTGCACGATGTAACTACAGAAGAGTCAAGTTTTAAATAGGAAAAATATCAAAACTCTTTGGTCATTTTTTTTTTTTGAAATGCTAATGGTCTTGTCCACTTCAATGATGTATGCTAAGCTATGCTAAAAGTGGTACCGCCAGAACCGGAGATCGGCTGAATGGATTCAAAAACGGTAAAACTCAACAGTTTAACTCTGGGGGAGTTGTAAAATGAGCCTATTTCCAAAAAAAGTGGAGTATCCCTTTAAATCCATTTTATGTAAAGCACTTTTACAATGGTGTATAAAATGTGCTATGTAAATAAATTCACCTTGCTTTGCCTTATGTAGCTCCGCCCCTTATCAGCACTGTGCTTGTTGTATTACGGTTTGTATTTCCACAGCATGAAGGTAAGATCTTACGGATTATAAATGAACCGCTCTTTTTAAAACCTTACCGGTCTACTGACATTTATGACATCCGCTTCAAACCTTACAATGCTCATGGCTCATGATAATATACATTAACTCTACAATAAGAAAATCCACTTCACCAGCTAATTACTTTTCGACAGTGCTGTGGCCTGTATAGAAATATACAACGCTACCGCAAAAATGGGAGTTCAAACTCAAAATTCTAAAGATGGCACATAAAGTCTATAGGGCTGCCCAGCAGTCTAGACTCATCAGTGCTTCTCAAACCTGTTCCTGAAGACCCCCCCAACACTGTACATTTTGTATGTCTCCCTTATCGGATACACCCACCTCGGGTCTTGCAATCTCTACAAATGAGTTGATGAGTTAAATCAGGTGAGTTAGATGAGGAAGACATCCAAAATGTGTAGTGGTAGGAGGTCTTCAGGAACAGCTTTTGAGGCAGTGTACAAATACTGTAGATTATATGCCTTTATTTTGCCAGGTAATCTTGAAATGAAATACCATTTTAGGAAAGAGACCTAGACAAAATGGCAGCGTAAGACATCAAGTCCACAACATAACAAGGAAAACAAACAAAAAAACACAGCATACTGTACATTAAAACAAATAACTTACAAAACAATTAAATGTTAAAACAATGCCATTGGCCAAAGTTGTAAGTCCTAAACTCATTTAATTAATTAATTAATTAATTAATTAATTAATAAACCACTAATTCTGTCAGTGAAGGCCATTTCATTTACGAAGAGTATGATGAGTCAAACCAACACAATATAACACACCATTGTAAACTGTCAAATATCTATAGTGAGGCAACAAGTTTACAATTACTGACCAGTTTACATGCACTTAAAGCACAGTGTTTACACCGTGTTGTGAACATGAACTATTGTAAACATTCATTATTATCTTTATATCACCTGCGATGAGATGACTAAACGCCTGTGAAGAGACGACTCGCCGCCTGTGAAGAGACGACTCAACGCCGGCGATATGTTATGCCCTAAATTAATACATGAATAACTAACTGTATTTTTCTATGTACATTTCTGAAATGCACTTTCTATAAAGCTGTTTTGAAACAATATGTATTGTGAAAAGCGCTATACAAATAAATTTGAATTGAATTGAATTTATACCTGCAAGGTAAATATAAAGCTTTTTTTTTTTTTGCTGCTGATGCTGCTGCTGCTTCTTGCAGATTTAGGGGCTGTTTATATGACACTGTTTTCAACTAAAAACGTAAAACTTTTTATGCGTTTCGGTCGTTCGTTTACACGACAATGGCGTTTTGCGTGCCTGAAAACATAAACTTTTGAAAACGGGTTTCAAAGTGCAAGTTTTTGAAAACGGTCTCTGTGTAAAAAAACAAAAATGCGAATCTCTGAAGACAATGATGTCATGCACATGCATATTACGCGTTCAGTCTATAGTGTTTCATCTAATGGCCTGGCAGCAGAACACAGGGTTTTTAGTCTTTTTCGTGGAGATGTGAATGGGGATCGTTTTGACAATGGTGTCTCCCTTATTTAACACACCTTATTCAGATCTTCACCTCATTAGGTGAGAGCTCCATGAACTAAACTAAGTGGGTGCTTCTGCTTCTCAAACAGAAGGCTGCGTCCTAGTAAGGAAGCATATCTCAGCTACCACGTCACCAATCGCCGTCTCAATTAGGGTCCTTGAAAGGCAGCTTTCGTTTTGCGTCCTTCAATCAGCTAATTTTGAAGGATGAATCATCATGAATATTTATATTTTCATGCCGTGACCGTGGGGCGGGAACATGTGTGACATAGCCATGCTCACTTTCAAGACTATCTCATTCTAGTGTTTAATGCTGAGAAAGACTCTAGGCCTCTGAAGGACTGGACTAAGAAGCACACAACCTCACTAGGATGCATCCTTCCGTTTGAGAAGCACCTAGCGTGTCAGTTAAGAGAAACATACAAAATGTGCAGATTGGTGGGTCCCCAGGGCCAGGATTGTAAATAGATGTGACACTAACTCATCAGTTTGCCCATTTATGCTGCCTTGTGGTCCTGCTGCAAGCAAGACAGGTAGACTTTTCACATAGACAGAGTAATGAGCCAAGAGCATTGGAGGCGTTGCATCCTCACATCACTTTTCCAAAGTATTTCTTGATTCAATCCACATTAAAGGAGCGATTAGAACTACTAGAACTCAACAAGCTCATGAAAGGCAAAAAGGATGCTGTCTCCCTCTGAAATATTATCCCTAAATAGATGTTAAATAGAATCTAATGGTTAGTATGATGTCCTGAAATGTTAATAGAAATTAAGTTGAAACTTTTTTTCTGGAATTAATTTTTTAGTTGGACGTTCATCTAAAGATTTTTTACTAATTGGTTGTTTGATCATTAACCTTAATCATTTGAAGTTGTCATTCATTCATTAAGGGGCTGTTTACACAACACAGTTTTCAACTAAAAACAAATATATTCCACAACTCTACTGAAAACTAATAAAAAACATTTTGTGCAGAAAGTTAACTATGGCGTAACGATCAGCATAAGAAACTCAACAATGGTGGCATGTTTCATGCTGCAATGCATGCTGGGTGTTAGCATAGTCCAAAACTCATTCATGAATCAAAGCATGCATTGCCGCATGCATAAATTATGCAGCTAAATTGTCTATAATATAGAATATATCGTTTTTTAGTTATAGCCATAATTTTCATAATTACCATGACCATGGCAGTGAGGAGCCATGCATTTTTTTTTTACTGTAGTTACATGTCTAACCTTTTAAAAGTATTGACTGTGGAAGAAGAGCAAACCCTAAGTAGAATTAAAATCAGTGTTCCAAATGTGCATTTCAGTGAGACAAAATATGTAATGTTATTGCTGGCTTTAGTTTTTGTCCTTTATTATTGGTCCCCCTACCCCACTAGTGCTAGCAAATAAAGTGCTGGTGCCACCATCTGTAAAACTTGTTTCTCATATGTTAGTCCTGCAGTAAAGAAAGTCATAAATACAGGTAGCTTCACACACACACACACACACACACACACACACACACACACACAATCAATCAATCAATCAATAATAATAAGAAGAGACACATTTTTGTTCAAAACATAAAACAAACATCTGCCTTGATATTAAGATCTATAGACAATATGTGAATCAGCCAATTACAGCTTAAAAACCCTCTCACAAAATTGTCACATATAACGTGTCTCATTATATAGGTGGTTTTGTTTGTAACATCCTCAAAAGAGTCTGTTATGTCTCTCTGAAACACACTTACACACAATAAATACATGCTCACACCTGGAGACCAACAAAAGCTTGAGTTGGCCTCTGTGAAGAATGTTTTTAAACAGAGCTTACAACTACTAGACTGTCTGCAAAATGTTTATTTCTTTAATGCGGCAGGCTCCATACTTTATCTACCCCCCGCTTGCTGTGGCCGCCCCACTCACTAGAAAGAACAGCAGTCTGCCATAAAACTTTAGTTTCAACACTTGGCTCACTCACTCATCAGTGCATCAGATGAACTTTTGCATGCTGGCCCAGTAACAGCTCCAGCCAAGCTGCCTAATAAACTGTGCTAACTGAAGCCCCAGAAGACTCTGAAAGACAATCTAGCGGTTGCTAGAAAAACAAAGTCATCTGAGGTTCTAATGATTTTTTTAAACATGTAAAACTGTTTGTAACCAATAGGACTATGAAAGAGTCTAAAGATTATGATAGAAAGCAATCTGGCCCTCAACAGCCTTACCTTGTGTTGAGCAATTCCACCGACCGGCTTCATGTTCTGTCCAGCCAGAACCATGGACTTACAATCCACACAGGAGCCAATTGTTAACTGCTTGCCATTGTCAATTACCAGGGTCTGGCTGACCCTTGGAGCATAGAGGAACACAGGCAAGCGGTCAACGCACACCGCTTTCAGCCCAAGATGTCTCTTCTTCTCTTTCCTACAGAAGAAGCAGATGAATGTGTTGCAGTTATACTGGCGTGCCCAGGGGCTGCTGGACGGGCCTGATCCTGAGCCCTGACTCTCATGTTGGGTCCACTGGCCCAGAAGGTCATGGTAGCACAGTGCACAGGCAGAAACAAGGCCCGTGGCATCAGCAGGGCGGGCACGGGGAGCGGGAGGGTGGACAGTTAGAAAAGGAAAAAAGGGTTCTCGCTCTCCACAACGCCCCGGAGGGTTAACATGAAGCTGATACTCTGTTCCTCCAGAGAGCTCCTCTCCACACAAGTAACAGATTGAGGTGTGGCTTGTGGTTGTTATGACATTCTGAGAAAGGGTCGACAGAGGTCCTCTGGGGGGGGATACCAAGACTCCTCCCCTTCCCATGGCCAGGTGGTATCTCTCACGGAACATGCTGACGGAAGTAATGAGCTCCTCACTTAGACAGAGACAGTACTCTGCCCAGACCCCCTCCAAGATGCTGTGACATGCGACACAGCAGTGTACCTGTCCATTACGCACACTCTGAGCATTTGGAGGGCATTGTAGCTGGTTTATGAATGGGAAATACATTGCACTGCGGGATTTACTTGCACCAGCATGGGTAAATGCCGTCCTGACCTCTCGACCGCAGTCCTTCCCACATAGGTAGCAGGCCTCCCTGTGATTCTGTGGCATGGAGGGGAGTGGGTGCATTTTTGGTAATCCATCCACACATTCATTCATGGCAGGTGGAGAAAGAGGGGTTGCAGCACCAGCGTTGAGGGGCACTACATAGAGTCGCTGGAGAACAGGCACATCTGCTAGCTCGAACCCTCGCCACTGTTGCATCAGGGAAGAGTGGCAAGTGGTACAAACCAGAGTATATCCACCCAGGTTGAGTGGCACAGCACCAGGTGGAGGGGTGTGGAGCCACAGAAAAGGAAAGAATGGTTCGCTGGATGCTCTCTCCTGCTTCTGCACAAACACTCTGAAGCGGCCCCCTGCTGAAAGCTTGATTCCACAAATATAACAGACGCATTCGTCAGCAGAAAGACTGGAGTGACATTTAACAGCTTGACTGCGCTCTACATCAAAGTCTCTCTCATCATCACTGGTGATGTTAATCTCGCAGCTGTCAGTCACGTCCAAATCACCGGTGGACGCATGTATCCACTGCTTATTACACGTAATGATGCCGTTATCCTGCAGGGGTGTGCGCACAGACTGACTGTCATACTGCTGGACAGCCATGGACACAGATGAGTGCGATATGTGATTGATCATTTTAGTCGCACGCCGATCTGATTTGGGTACGTCCTGAGCTGTGTAAACTCTGGTTGGATATCGCGCTGACTCAGGACTGCTTTTAACACTCATTGCGCTCTTTCTACCGCCTTCTCTTGAGGCTTTATTAGACGCACGGAAACCTGTGGCATTACTGCTATTCATGCACGCTGACAGGTCCAAGTCCTGCTCGGACAAGTCATTATCAGAGAAGGAGGACATGTCCGACTCATTGCCGTCATAATTACTAACGCTCATTCTGCGCTCAAGATCGTAGGAAATGTTCCGTAAATCGCACTGGTATGGTCTCTTGAGCCAGTACATGCGCTTTTCTATGGGCGTCCTGTTGCGCTCGAATGAGTTCCACTGTTCGCGCAGGAAGCAGTGGCACACGGCGCACACCAGAGCGTCCCCATCCGGACCGATCTCCGGCGCGCCTGGAGCCGGGTCCTGGCCTTGCAGGAAAGGGAAAAACGCGCTATCCTTTTCTCGTTGGTATTTTACCTGTAAGCTCAGCTCTTTTCCCGGGGTCACTCCGCTCCCACAGATGAAGCAATGGATGAAGAAAATCCCGTTGCGCTCGGGGATGCACACGCTGCCGGACAGAGCGCTCTCCTCCCCGTGCAAAGACGAAGCCATTCGCTGTAGCGCCTTGGAGGTCGGCGTGAGCTCCGGATCGTTCATAGTTTCATGCGCAAAAGTACTTCAGAATCACAAGCAGCGTGATTTCAAAGCCAGTCGCATTCTTTGTGCGTTTTCTCACATATGTAGCGCCATTGATCCCGCGGGGGAAAAAACTCGTTCACTCCGCAAACTCACTCGCTCCGCCGATTTCTGATTTGTGTGTCAGTGTAACAATCCAGAAACGCACATTTGGACCGTCGTCTGGAGTCACATCCTTATGAGGCGGCGTAATCCGTGTGCTGTTAGAGAGTAGAAAGTCTTAATAAAGTTGCCTGGCGAAGTTTCCTCACACTGTGCCTGTGAGACGACTGAACTGAACACAGCGCCATCTCTCTCACTCACTCAGTGTCACACACTCACACACACACACACACACACACACACACACACACACACACACACACACACACACACACACACACACACACACAAACGTTTGTTTCACTAGCCTATAGTTACGACATCTCATAGACTTCCGTTGTTTTTATATTAGATTCATATTTTCGCCTAACACGAAAGTGTGCAAATCACTATTTAAATATGATTTGGCCCATTCATATAGACCCAAGTCTTTTTTAACTAGTGAAGTCTGGCACACTGGTGTTCAACAGGTTTAACTATAGCCTATTAATGGGGATTTTTTTTTTAATAGTGATGACTGACATCTCATTGACTTCTATAGTTTTTTATACCATGTGAATGATACTATTCTTCTATAGCCTAACCATACCCTACCCCTAAACATCACAAAAACATGAATGAAGCACAATCACTTCTTGTTCCATCATGCTAGTCATAAAACATTTCAAAAATGATTTTGGTCAAGCTGTGGTTATAAAATGTTAGCATTTATGAAACAAAATGTAACAAAATAGTGTTAAATAGTGTTAAAATGTACATTAAAGTTTTTATATATATATATAACAGTTGAAATGTGTTATCAAAGTCTGTGGAAAAAGACCCATTGTTGATGACATAACCATCACATAGCTGCTGGATTCACTGCTCTCATTCAGAATCCAGTCTCTGCTTGTAAGGATGATGTAGTACTCATTTAATATTATTAATAACAGTAATCGGCAAAGCTTAAAGCATGAGATTCGGTGTTGTGACATTCATTCTTACGGAATTGAAAAACATGTTGTGCACAAACTGTTTTGCACAAAATGTTTAAACAACTGTATAATTTAGATACACATAAACATCAACAATCAGCATATGAATCTCAACAATTGTGACAATCAACAAAAAGCTTCATGTTGCACTGCATGTCACCATAATACAAAACTCATCCATGGCTCCCAGTATGCATTGTGACATGAACTCATTATACAGCTGATTTGTCTTATTATTTTTTTGTGCATTTATTTTGCAGTTGTTTTTGATCTGACCTCTTAATAGCTTGTTTTGTGATGTTCAGAGATGATCTGTTAAATCTGTATAGTTTGCTGATTGTCACCATTGTTGAGATAGACTGTAGGCTGATTGTTGATGCCTGTGTGGCAAATCCCAAATGGGACACTTCATATGCGCTTATGGCTTTGAGGATTTACGATGTCCCTGTGTGCAAAGCTGAAGTCCACGTTCATACAGTGGCCTATTTGTGATTTTAGAAGGGTGCTCAACAAGAATATCTCATTGACACTACACTACTAGTCTTACACTGTAAAGTCACAGAATCATGTCATGTAATTTCACCAACATCGCTTGGCGGCGGTTGGCTGCATGGATGAGAAAGTAATGACCAGTCTTCTGTCTTGTATGGCCAGCTCCTGGTAATTGTCGTAAAGTCACAGAGTTGATGTATAATTACACAAAACACTTATGGTCAGTGAATCAGGCAACTTTATAATGATATCATCATCAATAAGTAATCACCTGATCTCATTTGATTTGTCTTCTTACAACACATAACTGTTTTCTTTAAACTGTTTTAAATGCCAGATGTAAAATTAACTTAAAAAGTCAAGGATCAATTGTAACATGGGCTGATTCAGAAAGACGGAGAGTAGGATCCAAATGCTTATTAACAAAATAACAAAAGTGAATCCAGACAAAGGCAAAAACAGAGTACATCCAAACACAGCGAAAAAGGGCAGGCAGAAACAGAACTGAAAACAATGCACACGGTACATCCACAAAGGACAACACCAGAAGCCTGTTGCATGAAGCTAGTTAAACATTCTCAGAGTTTTAGAGTAGGTTTTAGTTAATTGATAAATAAAATCTATTGATGAGATTATTTTTGAAAGCATCTTCACTTTACAGCATTTTTACACAAGTGCCTAAAACTTTTCACAGTAGATTTACAGGTAGGTTTCTTCAAGCGTCTTGGAGACGTTGCCGCAGTTTTTCTGGATTTAGTTTGTATCAGGTTTTTCTGTTTCTTCATGTAACCCCATAAGATATAACATAAATGAAATCGGGAGATCAGACCACCAATGCTAATATGTTGTCTTTTTTTATACTGTTACAGCGTATGTTGAATGTTGAGTTGATGAGTCCCATTGACTTCCATAGTATGAATTTTTTTTTTTACTGTGGAAGTATATGGAAGCCTCATGCCCATCAAATGTTTGGTTACCGACATTCTTCAAAATATCTTCTTTTGTGTTCAGCAGAAGAAAGAAATTCATACAGGTTTGGAACAACTTGAGGGTAAGACAATGATGACATCATTTTCATCTGAATTTTCAGCTTCAGAACCCTGTGAATAGAAAAGAGGGGGGTGATAACCAAGGCAACACATACAGTAAACTGAAAAGGCCCAGTCAAAGACAAACACAAGGAGTTGTGAGAGTATTCAGCCTACATCAGCTGCTGACTCCAGGTAGAGGGGTTAACCCTCTGGGGTCTGAGGTGTTTTTGGGGCCCTTGAGATGTTTTGACATGCCCTGACATTTGTGCTTATTTCAGCTACTTAAATCATACCATTTGCCAACATATAAATTTGCTGTATTCAGCACAAACTCTGCTACAATAATATGTGAGCAAAATGGATGTACATGTTTGCATTTTATAGAAAAAAAATATTATGCGTGGTTAGTACGTTTTGGGAAAAAAAATGTCACCGCAATAAGGCCATTTAACACATACTGAATAGTTTTCCACAAGACTTTTGAGTTACTATTCTTGTAGGCTAGAATTTTTACTTCAAAATGAAGTGAAAATCATTCTGACCACTCTTTCACAAACAACAATATAACTATTTAAAATTTGTTACGTCAGTTTGTGGTCAGCACTGCTGTATGCGTGGGAGTGTGAATGGCCATGAATATTAATGTGATTTACACCTGGGTGTGAAGACTAAAGACACTCCCCCAATGGCCCATCAAGGTGCTGTGAGGCAGCCTGAACTAAGAATGATTCACTGATGAATAAAAAGTTAAAAAGAACAGCATTTATTCAAAATAGAAATCTTTCCTAAGAACGTAAAGACTTAAAGTCATTCCTATCACTTAACACATCCTTTCAAAAAAAACAATCATAAAAAGACCAAACTTGTTTTGTTTTTTTATAAAAAAAAATGTATTCAAAGAATCCTAAAAAAAACTATTACAGGTTAAAAAAAATTAAGCAGCACAACTGTTTCCAACATTGATTTAAAAAAAAATCATATCAGAATGATTTCTGAAGGCTGATGGTTAGTTAGGTAAGTTAGCGGTACATCTCACTGATGCTGACATCTGTCCATTTATATTTGCAGCCTTTTGCAGTTGCCTTGGCAGCCTGGGTAATAGACTAACCAAAACTGAACATTTATATATAAAAAATATATTGTATTTAGACAGTATCACATATTTGCATAGGCGTCGATTTCGGTGGGGGCGGTGGCGTCCCCACCAGATTTCGTCATGAGTCATTTTGTACCCACCACTTTTGGAAACATTGAGGCACGGATGTACCTAATACAAATAAAACATCTCCAGTTAACTAGCAGAGCATTCATTTAGTCCGCTCTTAAATAAGAGATCTAGCGCTAAAATGTTTTGTTTTTGAACTCAAGCTAAGCGCTCGTGTCCGCTGCTATCAGTGTCATGGATACAGTGTTCTCTTGTGGCGGCGCGCGCACAGTCTTCACTCGGACGCGCTCTTCAATCTATCGCCGTTGCGGCGGACACTATTCATTCCGGTGAAATCACAAAATAAAATGCACACAACTGCTTGATATAGACTGTAACCACTGATGAACATATTCGGTTTTGATGAGGGAAAAAAAACTATACCGAGGGCGGATTATAGAACCCGTAACCTCTGACACGCTTGGCAAAAGATCTGCCACTAGACCACTGAAGTACTCAATCAAAACTTGCGGATCGATATATTTCACTAAATCATTATAACCTAAGCAGTTATTCAAAAAGTTTACACGAGCGTATAGGTGTCAAAACTAGGCAAAATATAGTCTGAAAATTCATTTGAGCTCTATGATCAGAAAAGGAATTATATACCGTAAAACTTCTAATAGTAGCCCGGGCTTTTATTTTCCCAAATCGTCGAACTGCACCGGCTTGTATTTGAGACAGGCGTCTATATGAGACGGGCCTTTATAATTTAGCGTTGAGATGTTGTTCATTGAGTGTCGGCCTAGAGTCTCTAATCTCTAAAAATCTCCAAATGCTCCACGTGAAACTGCGGTCTTCCGACCTTTACTATCGCGTCAATTGATTTTGATTAATATGCGCGAGGGAGAGAGAGCAAGACAGCGCTCGTGTTGTTTGAAGACGTGAGAGTGTGCGCGCGCGGTCGGGGCGCTCTCTCTCTCTCTCTCTCTCTCTGCTTGTTATGCGCCCTGTCAGGCGCAACAGTCATTCTATTCTACATCACTCACCGATCAAAAAAGGCTTTGGAGGGACAAAAATGTGCTTTGGCGGCCGCCAAAAAGCGGACGATCTGACGGTTTTAGAAGATTAAATACAACCCGAAACAAAAAAACAGACCCGGCCTCTATTTGAGACCGGCCTTTATTTACCCAAACCTGCAGCCACACCAGGCGTGTAAAAGAGACAGGCGTCTATTTGGGACTCGGCTATTATTTGAAGTTTTTCAATTCCTCTGAGGAAAAGGTGAATTTTTCCCCGCTGTAAATAATCCTCTGAAGGAGTAGCGTGCTGCCATCCTCAAAACGCGATGAACTATCAGTGATTCTGATGAAGAAAGTTACTTCGTGTTGTTATGGCATTGATCGGGGGGCGTGCCGCGTGTGCGATGCATAGATCGCCTATTTACCATGTGAAAAGCTCTGGGGGCGTGGCGGCCTCAGCTAATTAAAGATAATGAAGGGAGAACGAAAAAACTGTACCTCTCCTTGGTTTCAAACGGATTACATAAACTGGAAATATATTTTTAATTAGAAGA